GCGACCCAGGTGGGGACGGCGGTAGCGATGGTGATCCCGGCGACTCCGAGAACCTCGAGGAGTTGAAGTATGATCCAGCCGACGACCGCAGCCCCGCGGGCTAGAAGGGAAGAAACTCCTCTGGGGCACCTCGAACGCTGGCCCGCTGCGCCATGGGCTTGAGAGTGGCCGCACGCGGAAGCAGACCCGGGAGATGCAAGGTGCCGGGGAGATGCCGGGGCCCGGCGAAACACCGGAACGGGAAGAGGCATTGCTGGCGACCATCCCGGAAACTGGCGGGACGGGGATTGTTGAGGACTACAAAATGCAACTCGCTTGTGAAGGAGCAGTGGGACAAGGAGCAGACACGCCGTAGGGAGGAGATGTACAGGCGCGAGATGCAGGAGGTGTTGGGCCCGGAACAGCAGGCGTTCGGGGCCGAGGTCGACGCCAGCGGGTCTTCGCACCCACTCCCAGACCCACAGCTAAGTATGACCTCGCCAATCGGGCAGAAGCCGAGTGATGTGGAAGCAGTACCGATGACGTACAAGGATGTGATGTGGTTCAAGTACAAGGTTTTCTGGGAGGCGGCCATGAAGAAAGAGATAGATGACCACGACAAGACTGGAACCTTTACCAAGGTCAAGGAGCTGCCCGAGGGGCGGAAGGCCATAGGTTCAAAGTGGGTGTTCTCTTGGAAGACGAATGAGAAGGGCCTGATAGTCGACTTCAAGGCCCGTATGGTTGCGCGGGGTTTCTCTCAAATCCCCGGCATCGACTTCCACCACTCATCCTCAACGTGCCCGTCTGCAGCGTCTATCAAGACGGTGATTGCCGTAGCCACTGAAAAGGGCAAGAAACTCGCTCACTGGGTGAAGCAAGCGTACATCCAAGCTAAGCTAAAACGNGAAGGGCCTGGTAGTCGACTTCAAGGCCCGTATGGTTGCGCGGGGTTTCTAATTCCCCGGCATTATCCTCAACGTGCCCGTCTGCAGCGTCTATCAAGACGGTGATTGCCGTAGCCACTGAAAAGGGCAAGAAACTCGCTCACTGGGATGTGAAGCAAGCGTACATCCACGCTAAGCTAAAAGAAGAAATATACCTCAGGTTCCCGGAAGGCTGTGGTAGCATGTCCGGCAAGGTGGTCAAGGTTGAGCGTGCCCTGTATGGCCTAAAGCAGAGTGGCCGTGAGTGGGGGTTTGAAGCTGCCGATGCCCTCATCGAGAATGGATACGAGCAGTGCAGGGTTGACCCGTGTGCCTTCCGGAAGGTGATGGATGGAGAGGTCGTAGGTCTCATCGTGATCTACGTTGATGACATCTTAGTGGCGGCAGACTAGGGAGACCGAGAGGAGTCGTTCGCTTCCCTCAACAAGAAGTTTCCGGTGAAAGATCTGGGGGAGTGTACCTGGTACGACGAGTGTGCTATCGCCATGGATGTAGAAAATGGCATCACCAAGCTGTCCCAGACAGCATACATTGAGAGTATGCTGAAGCGGTTTGATGTGACCACGACCGCTTTCACCCCTGCTGCCACCGATGCCGACCTAGGGCCGAAGAGAGATGACGAGCCCGCGGTGGATAAGCCTGTGAGGGAGGCGATCGGATGCCTGATGTGGACGAAGCTGACGAGGCCACGCATCGCCCTGCCTCTGAGCAAGCTCCAGAAGATCGCCCACTCATCCACCGGGAGGATATGGAACGCGCTTGTGCGGATCATGTCCTACCTGAACTTCACGAAGGACTTCGGCATCACCTACGTACGGGGGTCAGGACTAGACCTAAGCGTGTTTGTCGATGCCAGCTACGCTGACAACGAAGTAGACAGGCGTTCTACGACCGGGCTAGCTGTGACCGTAGGTGGTACCGTAGTGTGTGCATCCACCAAGACGCAGCCAGTGACGGCTCAGTCGACCTCGGAAGCAGCGTATATGGCAGCCGGGGAGGGCGTGAAGGAGGCGTTGTTTGTGCGTGGCGTTCTGTCGTTCATAGCGCCCGAGATGAGTGGGGCGAAGATCAAGGTCCTTAAGGACAACAAGGGGGCTCTCGCCTTAATCGAGAACCCATTCAGCTCAGCGAGGAGCAAGCACATCGACGTGCGGTTCCATTTCATTCGCGAGCTATTCAAGTCGGGCAAGATCACTGCAGAGTATGTTCCGACTGGAGAGCAGCACGCCGAAATGCTGACCAAGGTCCTTGTTAGAGAGAAGTTAGAGCACCAACGGAAGGCTCTGATGAACCTACCGATGTAGTGTTCTCTTGTTCTGTTGGTTTAGACTATGTGGTGGTTTTAGCACTTGGCATACATGACCTTTGTACGTCACGCAGGAAGCGTTGTGCCGGCGCGTCACCCGCGGCTGGAGCCTAGAAACGCCGACAGCGTTGCTTCGGGTGTGTAGTCAGCGTGACCGGTTCAATCTGTCCTGCCTTGGTCTTGTCTTGGAAGTGCGGCCGTTGAAATCCTCCGTTATAGCGACGGTTTTCTATATTTAGGGTGACAGACGGGGGGTTCAATCCGGTTGGTCGGGTTCTCCCTCGAGCCTGTTGTTGTTGTTGAGTCCCTTTGGTAGATCAGGGGTATCCATGCCCCACGTTAGGTTTGCCATTCGCGTGCAAACCGGGGAGAGTGTTCGTGTGTTTGGATACGGACTGGTTAGATCTACCGGCAACAACGGAGGGCACGCAGATGGGGCATATGTACACCTTGAAATGGTTGCATGTGCGGGGACCCCTCGAACCCACAGAGGGCTTCACTGCTCCCTACTCCCCTTGCCTGTCAAATACAAGAGATAAAACGTCTTCCCCTTCCAAGTAAAGGACATAAACGAACAGTGGGCACTGGTGACGTGGGCGCTTTCCATGTTGTGTCCTCCTTTTTTGGTGCAGACCCGCCCGGACACAAGCAGTTCTCAGGTGCTTATCTCGAGCCGTGTGCCGGTCGTGCGGGCTCATCGTTTGACGCGGGCACTTTCCATGGAACCTCTGCTGCGGAGAGCCGCTGTTGAGCTGTGGTAATGGTCAGAGCGTCTCGAGCTGCGCGGATCACTGTGTGGTGCTAGATTAAGATCAGTGGTTTGGCCCCGAGGGCTGACACAGCTGGTGTTCAAGGCAGGTTTTGGGATTCCAATAAGCGACTTGCCGTTCCTGCGCACCTACACATTCTGGCGCTTGGGGAAGGTGTCGATCAGCCTATCGCCGGCGACTTGTGGCCGGCGTCCCTTCAACAGCTTTTGTTCGGGTATTGCTTCAAGCTGAAGTCGTGTGGCCGGCATCGCTGCAGCAGCTATCGCTCGGGAGGGAATTCCAACCCATTGCTGAAGTCGTGTGGCCGGCCCCCCTGCAACAACTATCGTTCGGGTATTGCTTCAACCAAGCCATTGCCGAAGTCGTGTGGCCGGCATCGCTGCAGCAGCTATCGTTCGGGTTTGGCATAAACCAACCCAATGCTGAAGTCGTGTGGCCGGCATCACTGCAACAGCTCTCCTTCGGGTGGCATTTCAATCAGCCCGTTGCCGGGGTCGTGTGGCCGGCATCCCTGCAACAACAGCTGTCGTTCGCGCGGGAATTCAACCAACCGATGGCTGAAGTCGTGTGGCCGACCTCCCTGCAACAGCTATTGTTCGGGTATCACTTCAACCAACCCATTGCCGGAGTCGTGTGGCCGGAGTTCCTGCAAAAGCTATCGTTCGGGCATGATTTCAGGCAACCGATTGCTGAAGTCGTGTGCCCGGCGTCCCCGTAACAGCTGTCGCTCGGGTTGAGATTCAACCAACGCATTACCGGAGTCGTATTGCCGGCGTCCGTGGAACAGCAATCGTTCGGGGCACTACTTGAACAAAGCCGTTGCTGATTTCGCGTGGCCGGCCTCCCTGCAAAGTGTGACACAGCTGACCTATCCAGGCACACGTCTGCATTACAGGGGATGAGAGCAAACTTCGCCTGGATCTCGCATCTTCGTTTGCTCCACTGTACGGTCCCTGCGTGTTGAACAAGGGAAAGGCTACGAAAGATGAGGTCAAACGGTTGCGAACAGACATAATCTACGTAAGGTTTATATACTGTATGGCAGCATAGACTAATGGCGAAACGTCAGTCTGCGGTGTTCCCGCGGCTCGCCTGTATCCAAATCGGTCGCCCCGGGGGTCTAGTGGTATCCTCGCAATCCGCTATTAATAGTCGCAGAGGTCGTGAGTTCGAATCCCCATGGGGTGAAAAGTTTACGAAATTTGCGGGTGAAAGCGAATTATAGCCAAAAAGCTCTCGTGAGTACCAACCTTCGACGTCAGCACCGTTGACGAGGGAAAGGGACGGCTGGACCCTTCTCGCGATATAAATAAAATTCAGCACGCACCGCAGGAGGAAGGTGGGGCATGAACAGATATAAAAAGAAGAAAAAAGCCTTGGTGTTTACCCCCTCCTGTGTGACCCTGAATGGTTGTAGTTGTACGAAAAAATACACTGAAAAGTGTAGTACTCTACATACGCTGGAAAGTGTAGTACACGTCTCACCACGAAAAATGGGGGGACTGTCGCCATAATAAGTAGAAGTAGGACGAAAACAAAACAACATACACACATAGTTTTTTTGACATCGCGTGCAAGCACCAGGACGCCTTGGTACTGCCCAGTGAGTCCTTGTCCTCTTCGTCCCACAGAACCAAAGTTGGCCAGATCCAGTGCTTCGCTGCCGGGGTGCCACTTCCCTGTCATCTCTCTTTTCGCCTACGACAGAAAACACCACACACGCTCTAAGCAAAACCACAGCCGTCTGGACCTGAAGGCAACAAACAACGCCATGTGATGTGGGTGCTTTTCCGAGGAACATTCTCTTGCACTAGGTGTACCACTTGTTGCCTGGCGGCGTAAATAGACCCTCGCGTCTACGCGTCGCTATCTCTCCCTTTCCCCTCAAAGGCAAAACCAACGCGGCTATTCTCTTCTGCTGCCTCCTCTGGAGCGGTCAACAATCAAGCAGTTGCCGAGTCACAGACAAACGGCCACAATCTCTACACCTCCGAGATTCATGCTGCATAGCGTCGCGCTCCTTCAGCATCATGGTGTGTTTACCGAAGCAGCAGACAACCCCGCCCCAGACAATTTCTTCCCCAAAGGATTCGTCTCCAGAGTCTCCAACGCGTCAGCTGGGAACAGCTCGCACTGCGCCTTCTGCTGCATCAAGACGTCCGCGAGGACTAAGGCAACCATCGCCTGTGAACCACACCAAGGACATACCAACAAGGGGACGGTTAAGGGTACGGCCGACCTGATGTAACTGCATGCTGGCAGCTTTCGGGGCAAGGCATTATATTAGGGAGTGCGGACAGTAGATTGCCATGAGAACTACAAGCGAGCAAGGTGCAAGTTCAAGAGTGCAAGGTGCAAGCACATTGTGCGGCGTCACCGTGATGGCACTTTCAACACAAGGGATTGGGGTAGGAGGGAGCACGAGTCCGCAAAATCCACGACCTACTGAGGATGACCAACAGCTGAGACACTTGAAACCCGTGGGGTTCTCGAGACCGCGTCGGAATTCCTCCGAGGTGATGAGACTGGTGGAGGTCAACAGAGTTCAAACACGAAAATAACTCGTTTCAACAGTGTACGTCGACTCGAAGCGCGACACCACCGAACTTACCTCGACCATGGGAGCTGCCCGAGGAAGAACGCAGGGGTCATGGCGACCCTTTCCCCTCATGGTCGTCTCCTCTCCCCCCCTCGTGACCGTATTTTGAAGCTGCCCGATGGTGGACGTCGGCTTGAATGCCTGATGATTAGCGATTGCGTGGGGTTGACAGAACGGAAGGAGAGACTGATGCACTTGCATGTGCTACAGGCGAGAAGGAGGCAGCACGCAGTTCTGCAACACGACGCACGACGCGTCGGGACACGATATACGTCTTTGTCGTACACGGGGTGGGCAAAAGGGGGTCACAATGACACAGACGCCATCGCCATCTCCACACCATTTCCATTCAACTCTCACCACTCTAACTACGATCGTTTCCCCGTTGCTGATGCCCCCCTGAACTCCCCCGCTGCGGTTTGTGCGCGTGCGCGTTTGCCCTTCTTCGTCCACGTAAAACTCATCGTTGTGGGTCTTCCCCGACAGAAGGGTGCCAGCGAAGCCCGATCCAATCTGACCGATATGGTGCGCCGACATTCGAGCAGGTGTAGGAATAGGTTTGACTTAGGGCAGGACGTACATATCCGGTGAAAACCGAAAAGCCCATATCAACAGATACACCCACGTGGGGACCCTGTGCCGAGCGTACGGCGTATGATGATTCGCGTGAATGAGCTCGTTCCTCACGAACGGGGTGTAGCAGACGGCGCAGCCAGACCCTGACAATAACGCACACACCTCCAGGTTACCAAATGAAAAGGGGGCATCGGGTACCTAGCAAAATGACGCGGTGCATGAAGCTATGTAGGTGCCGAGAAACATTCTTTTGTACCCGTCCCTCGAAAACCGCTCTCATGCTGTCCCTCCACAGCATACCTAAGCGGTGCCAGCCATACCTGTTGGCACCACTCCCGCCCCTTGGAACATGCAGAGCAATATGGATCTCTTCAAAATTTGGAGGCGTGCGTTAGGTGTCGTACGGTACACAGCTACTCCTGCCTGGCCGATGAGACATCTCGACTGAAGGATGAACGGTATGAGATACAAGACCTGCCCCCCAGCGTTGTACCACCTCCCCTCCGCACTGTGCCAAAGCAAGCCACCCCAGGCATCGCATGGTAAAACCTACGCGCTGCCCACCTCGAAACCCTTGCTGGCGGGGAGTGACATGCATGCCTTCGCCAACTCCGCCTCAAGCTTATCGAACACTGGCGACCCAAGGCCGGAGGGCACATTTCTCGCCACGCACTCCACGACTCCCCCGATGGAGTCTCCCGTCCTTCTGATCTTGTCGATGCGTTCGATCATGCGTTCGGCGGCTTTTTCGTCAGGGCAACGCACGATGTTCGCCTCCACCTGTTTGTTTCAGACGGGTTGGGTTCGTCGAGGGGTGCTTCTGCAGCAAGTTTCGTGCTCTAGTGGAGTCGTAAACAGCAATACGAAGATCAACATGAGATTCTGTTCCTGTCACGGCGACCATTCATCCTCGAACTACCATCGATCAGAGTTGAAGCACAACGCACATCATTTCGCTCCGCAGCATGTTTGCAGTGCCGACGAGCAGCAACATATTTCACCACCGACCTGCTCTCGCGTAAACGTCTCCAAGTCCACATCTTCAGTGCCCACGTCTTGCACAGACTTGACGTAACCCAGCACCTCGCACCCGGAGTACAGGCTCAGCAACTGAAAATCATGAGAGTGCCGCAAGATTGTGAGATAAAAAAAAACGAGGCGCGTCCCACCGGCCAAGCGCACTTCAGAGATTGAAAAGGCTTCCAAAACATGGGCCCCACGTAGTTGAACAAACACAGCCGACGCCGTCATGCTGAGCTGAGATCCCTGGGACCAGAGCAGGCTACGCCTTTCGTGGCAAATTTCGGGAAGACAGGGAGGAGGTTGCTTGTCGTTCGAGGCGGGGAACGCACAGTTTGATTTTATGGGCAAACAACTCTCAAGCATTTGTCGAACAAAGCGGTACTCGGGAGATAAGGCAACGCAACAACAGAAGCAGTCACTCCAGCGCCAACAAAGACAAAAAAAGTAGGTCAACACTACGAACGAGCACCGGCGAAAGGCCAAACCTTCCAACACCAAAAAAACGAGCATGAGTGATTGCAGCAGTCATCTGCACAGTGGACCATCAAGCAGGCATGCTTGGAACTACATCTCCTCCGGTTCGGCTTGCAGTCCACGGTACGCGCTAGAGTACAAGAACATGACGAGGCCGTCAAAGAAGCGCAGCTCGCACCTTCCGTGCCACCGCCGCCGCCGCCACCCTGCCGATGGTCTCGCGGGCGGAAGATCGGCCGCCCCCTGCCACTGCCCTGATGCCGTACTTCGCGTCGTACGTTGCGTCCGCATGAGAGGGACGGTACGCCATCGACATGGTGTCGTAGTCCTGGCTGCGCTGGTCCTAAAAGGAAGAGACGTTTCACGGCACGGTGAACCAAACCACGGGAGAAGCGGAAGAAACGAAAACAGCAACCGAAAAGAAGGAATCATCGTGAGAGGGCGAGCCGAAGCGATAAAAACCAGACGGTGATACCTTCATCGGACAACGCAAGAAAGAGATGCCGCGAAATGGCGAGCATGGGCTGGCAGGAACCCATTCGTCCAAAGTGTGAACAAGGATGGATTGGCTCGGAGCGAACTTCGAGCGCGCAAAAAGCACACAGCAAAAGGCACCTTTTTTGAGTCGGTGCGGTGCGGCGAACAAACGCCGGGGTTGCTTGTACAGAAAAACTCGCCATGTGGACCCCTGGTATGAGGTATCTACTACAAGATCCCGCACAAATACCTTGACAAGCTTACAATATCACAACGTCTGCTAAGCAGTCCCACCCAATACCGCAAGAAAACAACACAAAATACGTCGCTGCGAAAAGGCAACCGCTGCGTTTTTTTGGAACATCGCACCTTGTTTCGAACAAGCATGGCGATCGGCGTCCCCAAGGTTAAGCCTTCAGGAGAGAGGCCAGAGAGAATCTCCACTTGGTCGTCCTCGTTTCTTGGGGTGGTGATGCGCGACTGTCCCGGCTTCCGTCGGTCCAGCTCTGCACAAGCGCACCGTAAGATGACAGCGGATTCAAGGGGGTGATGCACGTTCGGCAATGACATTCGTCAATACAGAGCTTGTAGGAGCAGAGTACACACGCGCACAGGTTCGAGGTGAAGGAAAAGCAAAGGTTGCAGCGTGCGAGCCACATGAGGCAGCATATCGCATCGGAAGCAGAGAGCCAAACAATGGTTTGAGCAGAATGAAACAGCAGCGTGTTTGCGAGAATCAGGCACATCACCACCAGCATGCAGAAACGCAGAAACACACCGTGCGGCAGCACCGCCAGTCAATGCAAGGTGAGCGATGGTGGTGTCTTCCCTCGTGCTACAACGGGTTGAAAACGACACGTGCATACATGCACCTGGGTCTGCCCACTGCGCTAAGTGTGCCTCTAATGCAGGCTGGTCTACACTGGCAAGGCTCACCCGTGTCCCAAAAAAAGCCGCTATCTACTCAAGCACGGGCTGCTGTTGCTGCACGCTGTTGCCCTACACGGAAACAAACGCCCTTACGCCGCGTCTCGTTGGATGGGACCTGCTGTCCCTCGAACATGTTTTTCGGAAACGGTCGAACACGAGCTGCCTTTAGGTGGTTATCATGGTACGAGTTACATAAACGCGTTGGAATGTCGTGGCGGTATTGGGGGCACCCGATGTAAGCTACTGCTGTAGGTGCTCGCGGCACGTCCCATATCTGTCGTCCATTTAGCTTGTTGCGCCGCATCGTGTTATCTACCGATTGCACGGCGATCGTTTAACCACTGTGTTCAACAGCAGTCCATAGGCAACCCATCTCGGATCTTGCCAATGCCAGCAAAAGAAGGCGAGAGGACGCTACTTGCATCGCACATGCGTACTACGTGTCGAATATCTACGCTAAGAGCGAGCGCCAGCAACAGAGCCATGTTCATGAAACCCGTCGGGGTTCACGAGGTTGAGCATGTAGCGCATGATGGGGCATGTGACAACGGTAGTCATCAGGCATAACACAGAGATGTTCTCCTACCCACTTAGACAAGGCAGCACAGCAGCTGCGTGCTTCCTTTAGAACAGCAGTTTACACCTGCCAATAGCTGCTAAAGGTGTAGACAAACACATGACACGCGTTGCACGCAACTGCAACCACATGCTGGCTGGCCTAAAGCTGCTGCCCAAGAGTAACCCAGACGCTGCGAACACAGCCGTCGAACACGCACCGACTTGAATGTCTTGCGAAGTAAGCGGTATCTTCGGTGGGCACCCGTCTAGGTTGACTCCGACCCCTCCGCCGTGGCTTTCTCCCCAGGTGCTGATGCGGAACAGGCGCCCAAAGCTGTTGCCCATGCCCATTGTTGTCGTGCTTTTCGCGCCCATGCCCACCCCGAAAGCATCGGCCTCGCTACTCCATAACGCTAGCGTCGCCACCAATGTCAATGCCAGGCCATGGGTGGGATTTCCTCGCCGTGCCATCTTCGCTTTGCTTGTATGCTTGGCTGTGTGTAGTACGTCTACAAGCGCACCTCTCTGCTGTACACACTGCACAGCTACAGCTACCCCACCCGCGCAAGGTAAGGGGACCCGCCCCATCATTGTACATTTTCCATGGGATCAACGTTGCTTTTATCATTTCACGGAGTTCCTTTTGCCGCGGTCATGCTAGTTGTTGTTGTGTTCATCGCCACCACACCGACAACAAGGCAGGAGAAGCTTGTGTCGGCTCACCAAAGGTTCCAGAGGGCGGAAACAGGGCCTGTGCTGGCGCCGCTGCTCCGGGGAACGAAGTGTTTAGGCGAAAGAGAGGCTCCACTTTTCATCCCTGTGTACACTTGTTGTAACCGGAAGCAAAGAGCGATGACTTCTCTATTGAAGAAAGCTGGCCTGGTGTTCGACGAGAACAAGGTGAGTTATTGCAGAGAGGATCTCGTATCAGCCCCCGGCTTCGCTTGAGGATGTATATGAGGTCGACGTGTGTGTTGCAGAAGTTCACGATTTCATGTCGTTGTACGACGTTGTTCATCACATGATCAGTCCAACGATTCGGCGGTCCAATGCCAACAACACTCCACAGGTGCAACATTTCTCAAAATCTGATGTCATAGGACCTCGTTCGTAATGGAGTGTATGAGTGTCCCCGGGTTCAGCTTACAGCAGTAGCACGTGGTAGCACGCATGTTTTGTGCAGGGTACTAGTGCTAAGACATCGAGTTCGACTATCGTATCGCGTGTATGCCATGGTTCACCGAGAACCTGAGATTTTCATCAACACACAGGAGGTACAGCGTAGAATTTCCTGGGAATGTCGGGAACGGTCTGTGGATTCCCAATTTCTGCCTCACTTGGAGTATTCTTGTAAACGTCTCTGGGTAAATATTGTGTGGGTGTCCTCAACACTTGTGGACGATCCAAGTTGTGGGGATGAAATCCGGGCCTGACACCATGTAGTTCAAGCCTTGTTCGTGATGACGCTGAAGGTTGCGGTCGAAACTCCTAAAAATTCAACGTTGGCTATAGGAACTTTGACAGTGTTCCGTGCCACGCACACAAGGATTCCATCCGGGCACCGCGGTGCTCTTTCGCATGATTGGGACGACACGACAGGTGAAGCCGTTCCTGAAGATGAGCATCACGAGGCTGAACCTACTCGTCAACAAGAAAGCCAACCACAGTGAGTGCTAAAACGCAGCCTGGGGAGATTACCCGAGGGCTCCAACTGGCGCTTGCCAATATTTGCCACTACAGAAAACCTTAGCAGCAGCAGTAGCATAACAGGACAGAGCTGAGAAGGTTTGGGGTAGAACAACAAATCACGATGGAAGGTGCAAAGCGCGAAGACCGGCATCTCCTGCCTGGTTCGCTTATTGTAAGCGTTGGGGGCAGCAGCAATAGTTCCAACTGCGCAATGTATGGTAAATAAGGGTTGTCGCTTGACGCCGGAGTCATCCTGTTTCGGGGGAGCGCTCGCACGGCTTGGTTCCCCCCCCGATCATCCATCCCGTCCGATACGATTGCCCCCTCTGCTTGGCGGTGATTCTCCAGTCAAGATCAGCAAGAAGGAGATCGCTAGGCTGCTCGCCGACGGAAAAGAGGAGAAGGCGCGCATCAAAGTGGAACAGGTGTGTCGTGTGCTGCAACAAGGGCCATGCGACGTTCGGCCCATCGATTCCGGGACCGTTTTTTTTTTTTGCTTGGACCTCACCCGTCGCAACACTGCCGTCTGAATCATCAGCCCGTAGCTGAAGCGAGGGAAAAAGTGGAAACAAACGTAGTCGTTGTGCCCGTTCGGGGCAGGGCGTATTGCTCACATCGCCGTTTAGCAAGTCTTACGCAGCCCCATCATGAGCCTACCCGTGGCCTAGTTGTGTGTGCTGTTCACGAGCACCAGGTACTATTGCTTGTTTCTTGTGGGTACCAGATCTGATGGTATTAGAACCTTGACATCACTTGAATGTTTCGATTGATTTTTCCTTCGCTGTTGCTCTCCCATTTTTTGTTCTTTATCCGAAAAGGTCATTCGAGAGGATTTCACGATAGAAGCATACGACATCTTGGAGCTGCATTGCGAACTGGTCGCGGAGCGCATGCGTCTGGTGGCGTCTCAAAAAGACGTCCCCCCGGACATGGAGCAGGCGGTGTGCACCATAATCTGGGCGGCAGACCGAGCAGAGGTAGGAAGCAACGGGCCACTGACAGCAGTCGTTCGCGTTATCATGAAAACTCTTTCCCTGTGTTGCCGGCTTCATGCACGACGAGCATCGTTTACCTCGCAAGCAAGCTGGCCAGCATGAGATTGTCGCCACAGGTTGTTTGCCGCAAGCACGCAGTGCTGCCTTGGGTGGAGACGTGTGTTGAGGCTTTTGCTCCTTCTCGCCGTCCTTGCAAGGCCTGACGAACGGGAAGATATGTTCCCAAAGCCCTCCTGGTGTACCTCGTCGCGCGGTAACACATGGGGGGACCAGTGTATCGCTGCAAGGTCTGTCTGCAAGCGTAAAGTGGCCTGTTGCTTGACAATCTTTGCCGTTCTGGTTCCTAAAATGTCGTGCGCTGCGTATTTTCAAACACCCATGGCATGAATATGTAGATCATGGGGCAGGGTCTTGGGATTCTCCTCTCTCTGTGTTACAGCAGTACCCCCACGGTAGCCGGGTCTGTACACCCTTCGTGTTGCTATTTGCTTTGTACGGGTTGTGGGCGCACAGGTTTCGGAGCTGTCGACGGTGAAGGCTCAATTCGTCAAGAAGTACGGCAGCGAGTACGTGAGGTTGGCTGAGCTGAACGAGGGCGGCTGCGTCAATCCGAAGGTGGTAGAGAAGCTCGACTGCCAGCCTCCCTCGGGCTTCGTCGTCACGGTGAGAGCGGGGTTTGCACTATCACCCAGAAGGGGTGAAGTGGACGGGGATGTTCGCCCTCGATCATCGTCTTAACTGTGGGTTTGGGGTTTGGAACTGTCACACAGAAGGGGGTGAAGTAGACGAGGGCGGGCGCTCCAGGGCCCGGCTTGCTTCCAAGCCGACTCGGGTTTCGATTGTTTTGTGTTTTATTTTGTCGTTCGGAACTTGGTTTGACTGCTGTTCTTTCGCTTCTTCTGTGTACCTCGCACGGCATGGGGTACGTTGATGCTTGACACGTTTCGACGGTGCCTTAGTTTCGGAGGGCAGGGTGTTGTTTGTTTTCTGCCAGACGGACCTTCCGTTTCACAGTCCTTTGCCTGTTTGTATAATAGCGCTGCTCCGCTCCAGTCTCGAGCTCATCCCCACTTGTTGTTACAAACATGCTATACTATGTGCGCTTGACAGGAGTACCTCCTGGGAATCGCGGAGGAATACGACGTAGAGTACACGCCCGCTTCCCCGATCCGCCGGAAAAGCTCGGCCGACCGTGAAGCTGCCGCAGCTGCAGCGGCCGCCTCAGGCCCACAGCCCGCGTACCAGGTACCAAGCAGTCGAAGGCCAAGCTCTGGGGGCGGTGGCGGGGGCGGCGGCGGCAGCACGGGAGGAGGCGGGATATCGTCCCCTCCCCCAGTAACCGCCTGGGCGCTTCCGCCTTCGGACGGGATTCCGCTCGCCACGGCTACGCTGTCGCCGCAAAACTCGTTCGGTGGCGGGGGGGCCGCGGCGGGCGGCGGTGGCAGTGCGGGTTGGGACCCGTCGGGAGCACCAACGCCGGCGGACAGGTATGTGCCGGGTGAGAACGAGAAGGGACACTACCGGGATACGAGCGGCGGCAACAACCCCTACCGACGTGGCAGCGGGGGGTTCGCGGAAGCGACAAGCGGTTGGGGGCCTTCGGACGCAGGGCTCGACGCAGGCCCAGGCGCGAACGGGGAGGACGCCCCGCCTCCGTACTCGCCTCCGCGAAAAGCCACCTACGACCACAACGACATCCCCTCACCTCCGAAGGCGAGACCCATGCCTTACGACATTCCTGCGGCACCGGGGTAAGGACGGTGTATACGGCGAGGAGCATAACGGAGAGGTCGCCCCGGTGGTTTATTGGTACCCTCGAAACCCGCTAGTCGCAAAGGTCGTCAGTTCGAATCCCCGTGGGGTGAAAAGTTTACAAAATATGCGGGTGAAAGCGAAACATGGCTGAAAAGCTTTCGTGAGTACCAGAAATGGACGTTAGCACCGTGGACGAGGGAAAGGGACGGCTGGACCCTTCTTGCGATAAAAATATATGTCAGCACGCACCGCAGGAGGAAGGTGGGGCACGATAATATATAAAAAGGAGAAAATTATCCTGGTGTTTATCCCCTCCTGTGTGACCCTGGATGGTTGCAGTTGTACGAAAAAATACACTGAAAAGTGTAGTACTCTCCATACACTGAAAAGTGAAGTACACGTCTCACCACAAAAAAAAAAGGAACTGTCGTCATTATAAGTAGAAGTAGGACGAAAACAAAACAACATACACACATAGTTTTTTTGACATCGCGTGCAAGCACCAGGACGAGTTTTTCCTTGGCGTCAGGATGTGTAAACAGCGAAGTCTGCTGGCGGTCCCTAATGTTGTTGGATGAGCGCCGCTCAACTTTAACCCTTATGTAAGCTCTTGTCCCACTCTTTGTCGGATTATCTCTTCTTACTGGCCGAGCGGTCTGCCTGTACGCCGCCTTTTCGTCACGTTCTCTCCCGAAAACCCAGGTACGAAGACAAGCCAACGAAGCCCGACGTGGGGGACGACAGCAGCAGTGGTCCCGCCGCACCCTCCGGAGGCGGCGGCAGTGAACTCGACGACCTTGCGGCAAGGTTTATGAACCTCCGCAAGTAACGTTCGCCAACAAACAATCGGCGGGGTCGAAGGCTGTTGTTCTTCTCTGCATTGACAGTGCCTCCTAAACGATAGAGCCGAACGGTCGGGGATAAGCCAGTGTAGAAGACGCACTCAGACGGATGATCGATGGGTGCATTCGTTTTGGGGATTGGGGCTCCACCCGCGACAGCGTTTTGCTTCCAAACCCATGTGAATGGCACATGTGTCCTGGGTATGTGTGCAGGGTCGAATGGCAGACGATTGGCTTGGACTTGAAGCAAAGAAGCTGGCGAGCGGGGCTGGTGTGTTTTTGTGTGTTCAGCATGTTTAAAGCGGCACATGTGCCGACCAGGTTTGTGCCACTACATTTTTGGTTTGGCAGTCGGATGTCTCGCAAAGGCGGCAGATGTTGCCTGTCGGGCATAGAGCGGCCGTATGTTGTTCGAACTGTTGTTGATCGGGATTGCCTTCCTTCCATCACCCCATGGTGCCCAACCGGATCGTGTTGTAAAGCACATTTTGCGGCCAGGTGTAGCCTAGTCTAGAGCTTGTTCCTTGTTGCCCGCTGTCCGCGCTGGCCGATTCCCGTGAACACGCTGCCGTGCTGGCCCTGTAACCTGAACATGACCGCTTCATATCGGATTTTTCTCTTGCCTTGGACTTACTTGGTGAGGGAAAGGGAAAGACAAGGATCGTCGAGGTGCTGGCGAGTATGGATAGGAGGCCGGCGGCATATCATGGACAAGATTGCCCATGTCGAGGGCGTCGCCCGGCTTTGTATGCTCAATGCTATTTCTACTGTGTATCGGTGCTGTGCGTTGCCTGGGTGATTCCAGGTCGGGGTTGCCCCTGATTATGCTACCACTTGCCGTCGAATAACGTCTTGTTTCGGGCAACCCTTCCGCCTTATTCCCTCTATTAGGAAACAAGAGTTTAGAATAAAAGAGCTTCTCGTGCAGAATATAGTCCAAATTCCGGCAAGTACTTCCTGCATGTGAAATACGGAATACAACAAAAGGAGGGGGGGGGGGGGGG